CTCTCCCTTTTGCTCCTTGGCTTGTAAAGCCTTTTGAGCTATCTTTCAAGGCCTTTCAAAACAAATTTTTGTGGCCTTTTAACCACTGAAATCCAGAGGAATTTCAGTGGTAGAAACCCTATTTTGAGGTCCCAAATAGGAGAGGGTGGTCCCCTCTCATCTTGTCTTGCTTGCTTGTGTTGATGACTAACCAAATGAGCATGTGTTTTTACTTCTTTGTGGCTTTGTTTAGGCTCATTTTTGTGACTTTTTAGACCTGCCATAACTCTATTTTTGGCTGTCTTGGTCACCTCTTGCATGCTTATTGCACTTTTAGTGTAAATCCTCTTTGCTAGCCTTACGTGCTTGATGTTGTAGCCTATTATTTTAGCCTGTATTGGCTCCATTCCAGCACATTTTTGACAATTTTTTAACATGCTTAAGGTCTGTTTGAAGTGGTCTTGGTCTTGTATGGCTTGCCTTGTAAGGCTATAGTGTAAATGGCTTCACTAGTCTTGAGTTTTGAGGCCACTACCATGCAATACTTGTGATGTTTGCATGCCTTGGCACCATTTGGCATGGTATTTCAAAGCTCATATCTTGGCCATACTCTCATGTTTATCACTCTTTAATTGTGTTTAAGAGTTGTGCCATTATGCCTTGTTTATGAGCTAATACAGAGCATATCTTTCTTGCCATCTATGCTGCAAGCCTAGCATGTTTTTGCCACTATTTTGACCTACCTTAGATCTGTTTCAAATGGTTAGGGTCATTTGAGCATTGCTTAGTATGGTTGTAGTGTAAAGGGCCTTGCTTAGCTTTGGGTTTTGAGGCCTTTAACATGTTATGCATGTGATGTTTGCATGGTATGGCACCATTTAGCAAGTAATTTCAGTGCATATAGTGTAGTCACACTGTCATGTGCTTGACTTCTTCATCATGTTGGAGGGTTGGTGCTCTTATGCTTAATTGGTGAGCCATGGCATGAGCATCACCATCTTGCCTTTCATACCATCATTTCATAGCATATTGGCCACTAATTTGGGCATGATTAAGGTCTGTCCATTTTAGTTTAAGTCCATTTTTGCATATTGTTGCATGCTTGTTCCATTGTGTTGTTGTTGCATGCTTGTCGCATTGCATGTTGTCGCATGCTTGTCGCATTACCTGATTCTTGCATGTTGTTTACATGTTTATGTTGCATTGCATTGTGTTCAACCTGGTGTTGTGTTTGAACACAAGGTGGATTAGCTCATTTCATACTTGAAATGATGAAATGAGCCAATCTTCCTTTGGTCTCCATTGCCTTTGATTTCTCATGATAAGGAGATGGTCTTGGTGTCTTGTTTGTCATGCATTTATTAAATTTGCGCATGTTGGATCTTTGGCCATCATGCATCGAGATGCGTGATTGATGGTCTTGGATCCAATGATGCCCATTCCATTGATGTTTTGAAGTGATATAGAGTGGCGTACACATCCTTGGGAGACCCTCCATTTTCTCTATTTTGTGCTCTGTTGTAGCTTCGTGTCACAGCACACCAGTGGCCGGCACCCTCTTATTGTTGGCCAGCAGATCTTCATTTATGGCCGGTAGTGTGCACTCTTGGTCGGCAGGGGGGTCGGCAGCCACCTCTCATGGCCGGCAGGCCACTGGTGCACTCCTTGGCACTGTTTTGGTGAGATCCAGCAGCTAGTTCTCGAGGACACCCTGCAGACAGAGCCTCTAAAGAGCATTTGGAGAACTTTTCGGGACGGAAATCGAGAGCATGCATCCTTCCTTATTCAAGGCAGAGCTGAGGCAGCCTGATTTAGTGCTTTATTTATTAACATTCGGTGTTGTAATTTAATTAATTTGTTTGATTAGTTAAAGTTTTGTAATAATTAGTTGTAGCTAGTCATTCAATTTGGTTGTGTAATAATTAGTCTAATTAGATTATTAGATTAGTTGATTAGCTTAGCATAGCTAGTTTAGCGTATTCATTAGGACCCTCCATTGAGAGGGCGGATTTTGTAATAAGTGTGCGTGAGTGTGTGAATGTCTTCTAACCCCACGTCTTTCTCCCTTTTACTTAACCGCTTATGATGGTTAGTTTTAGGTCATATTTTGATTAGCATCCTTATGCTTGCATGTTTGCATCCATTCATTTGTCTTGCATGCACCGGGCTCGGCGCATCATACTAACTGCATTGTGTTTCAATTCCTATTTGAATACATGATTATTAAGTTGCATCTCATATGCCATCTTAGAATAGCCGAGCCTATTTTTAGTTGCATTTTGCATGTGTTGCATTAACCATCTTAACATAGCTAGGATTATGCATTGATTACTAACTAGCTATTGTTTTGGCTCAAAGTACTAGGTAAGCTTTTACGTTTTAGCATCCTTGCATGAGTGTGAGTGTTGTCATACTTGCCATGAGGCTATTTTCTTAACTGATATAACTGCCTGAATGCCTGTGGGTGAAGGTTGGATTACTTGAATTGGAACAATTCATTGAAATGCGAGTTTTTAAGCCCACTTGAGAGTGGCAAAATCATGTTTTTCTAAGCCCACTTGAGGATAGCAAATCCACGTCTTAGCCTACTTGCGAGTAGCACCTTCAAAACTATTTTCAAACAAACAAACATGAGATGTTTTGTTCCAATTTAGGCGATCTAGTCTATACTTGTGTGTTGTGCGCATCACATAGTAATTATAGGCTAATAACCGGAATAAGAACGCATGTGTTTTAAAAAATAAGATATCATGTTAGTAAAGGCCGATTTTTGATCGGGCAAGCGAGGGTGCTCATTGCATGACCTTCCCCTCTTGTATCTAAGTTCCCGCGCCGAGACAACTTTGGTGATGACGGACACGTGGCCTTAGGCAACGAGTCAGGGTTTCCTAAATTTCTTCAAAAATAAAACATTTAGGTGGCGACTCTATATCTGGCAAAGCAGTCCATGTTTGACACTTCTTTATAAAAATCAATTTTCCAAAGCGATTTGCCGGATTTGGACTCTTTGGTGATTTATCGGTCTCACATTGCACTTTGTGAGATTAGATTCAGAACCGTGACATTGAGTCCGAACTGTAGTAGCTAATGAACAAAACAGATTTCGCGCCAACCCACGCGCAGAGCCGGGACGTTCGGGCACGTCTACAGTCGGTAAATGTATAATTTCAAAAAAATATAATTGACTATTGGCTACTAATAATTTAGTAGCCAAACATTGGCCGTTTGCAGGCCAACTAAAATTTGTAGCTAAAAGGTAGGTTTTGCCGACTAAATAAAGTAGTAGCCAAATATTTCACTTTCAGCGACCAAACACACGTTTAGTCGCTAAAACATTCGCCGACAAGGTTTAGGCGACTAAGTTGGCGACAAAAAAATTTAGTCGCTAATTGGTTTTGGCAGCTAAAAAAGTGACATTTGGCGACTAATATTTTGGTCAGTGAAACTGTTATTTCTTGTATTGATTGCCATCATAGAAGCCACAGACTTATAAAACTGAGTCTAGACGAACTGATAGGACCTCTTCTCACACAAGAGCTCATCATGAAAGAAAGGGATAAAGAAGAAGACGACAAGAAAAAGAAAGAATAGCTTTCAAAACCACTGTTACTCATGAAGAAGAGGATGAAGATAATTCAGAATTTAATGATGAAGAAATGGTCTTCTTTACAAGGAGGTTCCAGAAATTTATGAAAAAGGAACAAAGAAGAACAAGATTTTTAAAAGAGATTTTAACAAAGGAGAATATAGTAAAAGAGATTTTGCAAAAGGAGAAAACAAGAAGAAAACTGAAATCACTTGTTATGAGCGATTGTCTGGAAATCAATAAACAATACAAGAAAGACAAAAGAAGAGCCATGATTGCTAGCGATGAAAGTGACTTAGAAAATGATGATAACAACAATAAAGTCGCCAACCTATGCCTAATGGCATTTGGAGATGATGACGAGGTAAACAATGAGTCTTATTCTTTTGATGAATTAAAATCAGCATTTGAAGAATTGCATGATGAATTTAAAAAACTTGGCATTAAAAATATTGCTCTTAAAAAATTGCTTTCAAGTTCAACAAAAGAAAATGAATCTTTATCTAATAAAATTGAAGTATTACAAAAAGATTTTTTTTAAATTAAAGAATAAAATGACATTTTAAAATCACAAGAATCTCCTATTTTACAAAAAGAATTAAATGATTTCAAAATTGAAAATGATTCTTTAAAAAAAAAAGAAAGTTGTTTTAAACAAAAATAAAGAATATTTAAAAAAATTCTTTTGAAATTCATTCAAGGAAGAGGCACTTTAGATAAATTTCTTAAAATTCAAAATTGTACATTTAGTAGAGCCAGAACTAGCGATAAACATTTTTCAAATGGAAAAACTTTCAAAAATGGTTTTATTTATGAATTTTCTAGCCACTTATATCTCACGCGTCATTTTTTTGGTAAAAAATGTCATATTTCACCAAAATGTGCTGTTAAAAGAAATCTTTTTCACTACAACAAAATTGACTTTTTATGGCACCACATCAACAATATACAATAAATGCACGTCGTAGTTTCTTACTTTTATGACTTGTTTTTTCGCACGTTGTAAATACTTTTCCACCATGATGTATCTATTACGTAGGCTGTGAATGGTAATAATGATAATTTTTTTTTACAGCTTGCAATGTTAGCCGTAAATAATAAAACTTTATATGATGTGTATGTGGCATGCTGTTAATACATTAACTATACACGACACATGTATACTAGTCGTTAAAAATATTGAACATTTTACAGCACACAAAAAGCCAACCGTTAAAAATATTGCACTTTTTACAGTGCACAAAAAGTTAGCCGTTAAAAAGTACACTTTCGACAACTCACATATGCTAACCATTAAAAATATTTTAGTTTTCACGACACACAATTTCTGTCATGAATAATATGACCAAAATAAAAATAAGCGTCAAAATGAAAATTTTAAGCGCCAAAAAAAAAAAAAAAAAAAAAAAAAAATCAAAATTCATTAACTCTTGGCTTTTTATAATCAAAAGGAACCAAAGTTCATCAAAAGGAGCATAGAAGAGGGAGAGAGAGAGGGAGAGAGAGAGAGTGACTGACCACACAACCCTTGCTCCACCATTGTTGCGACCTCTTTCTGTAGTGAGAAACAAAAGAAGAAACGGGAAAGGAGAAGCCAAAATCCATAGGAGTATGGCCCGCAGTCAAACCCTTCGTCAATGGCGGAGCCTTTGGCATGCACGCTACCTGTGTTATCCAACCCATCGACATGATCGGGGTACTCTACTTCTTCTTCTTCTTCTTCTTCTTCTTCTTCTTCTTCTTCTTCATACTCTCTCTCTCTCTCTCTTTCTCTCTCTCTCTCTCTCTCCATCAGTTAAATCTTCCATCTCTGTCATCTCTTTTAAGGGTTTTAGATCTTCGACTCTGTTAATGTTGCATCTTCATTTTGTGCTTCTTTGTTCTACTTCTGTTCTGCTCACTTTTCATCCAAAACTCTTTGATTTTTTTCTTTGCTTTGCCCTCGAATCTTAGATCAAACGCCTTTGTCTCCAACCTTCATTATGTTGAATTTTGAGCCGAAAGATGATTTTTTTTTTTTATCTTTTATATGTTGGTTAGTTAAGATTAAAGTGGAAAGTTACATGTTAAATATGAAGAATTTTGTTTCTGGAATCTAAATATGGTGTTTGATTTTGAGCAACTGCTTTTGAATTTTGACCAATTGAATGCACCATACCTGTTTTTAAATATACCTCACCGAGAATTTCTTTTCACGTGGACTTTGTATCCTTCGCCCATTTGATTTCATGCAATTCTATGTAGTTCTGAAGTGTTTTCTCAACTAATGGGCTTCTTAATGGGTTTGATTTTTTTTAAAATAATAAACCATTGCGTTTAGTTTTATTATTTAAGTAAACAAAAGGTCAATTGATGGTGTTTGATTTCAGTTATAGATTATATATTATTTAATTTTTTTCATCTTATTAAGAAGAGTAGATTTCACTTTTTAACTTTAATGCTATATATTTTGTATTCGAAGGCATGTAATAGTTGTAGTAATTTGTCTACTTGGATGATTGTTAACTTGTTATGCTTGCTGGTATAGCTCATTTGAGAGTTGTGTTGTGTGTTTGGGAGATTTACCACTCACTTACAGTGGTTGTTTTATGCTTCAAATGGTTTCAAATATTTTTTTTACTAACTCGGTAATACAACGACAAACTAGTGAAACATTTCAGATATTGAAATTGAACTTTTATTAGACTTTATGCAAATCTGCCCAGAATATTTCCACACTTTGTTTTCCATTCTAAGGGGCTATTTGGCCTATTTAAAAATCAAAATTTTATAAAACAATGCCATGTTTGTTTAAGGCCCCAATAGGTATTGGGTTACCAGGACTCAACCTGATGCCTTTGAGGGTCATTTTTTTATTTTTTATTTATCGAAAGAGTAAAATCGAAAAATCTAGAAATGCTTGTTGTTCCAGAAATAATTTTTTCACTGTTCAGCTAAAACAAACTTAGCCTTATGAAATTTTGACGTTGGAAATGTATATAACAAACTTAGGATGTTGCCGCAAAGAATGAGATTTAAATTTGGATTTAACTGAATGTGTTTTTGAACTGAGAATCGGAATAAATTCCCTTGACCACATTTTTGAATTGTTTAATGTTCACCTACTTTTGGACTTCTTGTGTGAGCTAGCTTGTTTAGGGAATATTGTTGAAGTATCAAACTTAGCGATGCTTCAAAAAACCTTGCAAACACGTTTTCCCTTGGAGTATCTGTTGTTAAGGTTAGAAGAGATATTTTTAATGTATTGGAAAGAGAATATAGTATTTTGTGTGTGTATGTGTGTGTGTGTGTGTGTGTGTGTGTGTGTGTGTGTGTGTGTTTATCATTTTGGAATGGTTCATTCTAGGGGCCAACTGAAAAGGAGCAAATTGATGTGTAGGAGATATCTTTATGGACATCGTGGAGTTCATCATAGAAACCTGGCCTAATGTAATATTCTTAAACTGCTCTATGTATATATATAGATATTCATATTTCCTTAAAAATTCCCAAACTTTGTTTTTGGTGAAAATGATATAGCGAAAATATGTTTTGATAGGATTGATTCTAAAATTGTATTTGTCCCAAGCTTTACATACCGATTTACTTGATTATCCTTGCTCAAATAGTATTGTTTGTATTGACGAGAAATAACATATATATTTTAATTACCATGTTTTGTGTATCGGTATAGTTCTTTATATCAAATCAAATGATTCAATTGATTATATATTGCTAAAAGGTAGCCCCTTCCATTGGAAATTAATCATTTACTTTTTTCTTTAAACTACCATTGTTGAAAGCAATAAAGTTCAGTATGATGAATGGAAGTTACTTAAATTAGTGGTTTGTGATGGATCTAGGTTTGTGCTGCTTTAGATGCATTAATTAGCTTGTGATGGACACATTGGAGAGTTTACGTGTGTTATATAGGTGTCCTTTCTGTTGATTTTGTGTTTACTTGTTAGTTTGTTCATAAATTGATTTTGTGTTGTGTGTGTATACAGGTTTGGTCTTTTGAAGGTTTTTAATTGATTGCATGTTTGTGTTTTAATTCACTGGGTAAGTTGATTTTGGGTGTTGAATTTGTGATGTGTGTGTATGTATAGGTAAGAGAGAAGTCGAGGAGGCGGTAGAGAAGATAGTGAGTGCCAAGAAACAGAAGATAGACGTTGGGACAAAGCAGGCTGTTGAGAAGAAAAAGAGTGAGGCTAAGACCGTGACGAAGAAAATCAATAAGAAACTAGTAGATAATTTTTGAGGAGAAGAAGAGTGAGGCTAAGACCAATATAATTTTTAGACGATTTGGAATGTATAGATAATTTTTGGATATTCAAAATTTATGGAGAGTTTTTTTTTTTTTGGATGTTTGAAACAATATTTTGGTGGTTGATTGATATTTATATATATGTTTGTAAAGTTTGTTTGTAATGTTTTCTTATATTGTACAAGTGAAATAAACTAGATTTTTTTTTTTAAAAAAAAATACATATTCTACAGCGTACAAAAGTAGTTGTAGAAAAAGTAAAAACGATGTACAAAAATCTGTTGTTAAATAGTTTTTAACGGCGTATTATGGCATGCCGTTGAAAGTGAATGACTTTTCATGGCTGGTTATAATATGACGTTACGTTGCACATTGTAGAAAGGTTTTTATGGCATGTAATGCGCGCCGTAAAAATCTTTTTTTGTTGTTGTGTTTGCTAAAATCAAAAAGCTATGGGTTCCTAAAGACACTTCAAGTGACTCAAATTCTAACTTTTATGGATCCAAGAAAATATGGGTATCATTAGAAAAATCAAATTTATGTAGGTATGTTTTAAGACAAAATTCAGTAATGATAAATGGTATTCAACAGTGCATGTTCAAGGCACATGGCCAGAAATGAAGCTATGTTTGCTACACTTCAATCAAAGGATGGCGGCTATGTCACCTTTGGCGACAATACTAAGGAAAAATCATTGGTGTATGTAGTATTGGTAAAAATTCTTCTTTAATTATAGAAAATGTTTTACTTGTTGAAGGTTTAAACACAACTTACTTAGCATTAGTCAATTATGTGATAAAGGTAATAAAGCTATTTTTGAGGAAAAAAAATTCACTATAATAATGAGTACACCAAAGATAATAAAACTTTGTTTGTAGGACATAGGTATGAAAATGTATATGTGTTTCATTTGCATAACTTCTCTTCTCATTTTGATGTTAAATGTTTATCTGCTATAAATGAAACTGGTTAGTTATGGCATAGAAGATTAGAACATGTTCATTTAGATTTAATTTCAAACTTTCAAAAAATGAGTTAGTCATTGGTTTACCTAAAATTAGTTTTAAAAAAGACAAACTTTGTGATGCATGCCAACGTGGTAACAAACTATAATTCTTTTAAATCTAAAAATATTGTTTCAACTACTAGACTGCTTCAACTCTTGAATATTGATTTGTTTGGACCGTCTAGAACATTAACTTTAGGAGGTAAATCGTATGCTCTTGTTTGTGTTAATGATTATACTAGATATACATGTGTATTATTTTTAACACACAAAAATGAGGCTTTTTCTACCTTCTCAAAACTGTCTAAAAAAAATTCAAAATGAAAAAAGTCTTAATATTTGTAGTGTTAGAAGTGATCATGGTAGAGAGTTTGATAATGAGGATTTTATTATGTTTTGTGATGACCTAAGAATAGATCATAACTTCTCAACTCTTAGGACTCCTTAGCAAAACGGTGTGGTTGAAAGAGAAAATAGAACTCTTAAACAAATGGCTCGTACTATGCTTTGTGAGAACAATTTACCTAAATATTTTTGGGCTAAAGCTATTAACATTGCATGCTATGTTGTAAATCATGCCATAATTATACCTATTCTTAAGAAAACCCCTTATGACATTTGGAAATGTAGAAAACCTAATATTAGCCATTTGCGTGCTTTTGGTTGTAAATGCTTTGTATTGAATAACAATAAAGATCACTTAGGAAAATTTGACGCTAAATCACATGAAGCTTTATTTTTTGGTTAAGGCCAAGTTGGTTGTTATGACTATAAGAATTTGGTGCATCGCTCATGAGAGCATTGTGTTGAATTAGACTCTTTAGCTTGATTTACGCTTAAGTTGTTTCAGGAGCAGTCATAGGTTAGTAGTTTATTCTCTCCATCTTGTGGATAGTAGAATTAATTGCAACTACTGAGGCAAGAAATGGAGATAGAAAGAGGAGTATCATCATATTTCAACTAGATGTAGTAAAGTATATAGAGAATAAAATTAACTTGAAGGTGTAAGGGATTAGCACTTACTAGTTAAATTTGAGACTTAGGCGCACTTGATATCTCCATGACATCTTTTTACAATTTAGTGAACATGAGTTAGTCATAAATGGCCTAGTTGGACCTAAGCCTTTATACTTGTCTACGAGAACTCAAATATTAGGATGATTGAAATTAGTTTATGACATTTGTTATGAACAAGTGGCTTATTGTACTTCATCACATTTACGAGAGAATGACGTGGATAGTTTGAGTAGGCCCTCTTGGGCCCACTCGCTTGCGGTATCATGTTCTCATATGAATGTGCAACTTTGTTCGCAATGGCTACACACAAATAAGTTAGAAAGTCGTAAAAGGGCATCTGTATTGGTGCATTTGGTCACATAAAGTTATCCTAGCAGAGGTGATGTGAATAGAGTTTTGAATCTTTATAAGATAGATAATTCTAAGTATGATGCTTTATGTAGCCTAGTTGAGAATGGAAAGAAATTTCCAATATCCTAGGGATAATGGGAGTGACGTGCCTACTAGTGGATTACTCAATTACAGAAGAATACTCTAAATTTTAGTTGCATGGTAGCGAATGTGAAAATTATCCACGCCATCACTGGGTGATTGAGAAGGAAACATTTGTGATTGCTCGCTCAGGATAATAAAGAGCCTAGGATAATGGCAACGACTCTCTAGTCCCCTGTTTTTAGAAAGTGGATCAATGTTGCGCACTTTAAGACGAAATCTTTGAGGATTAACCATTTCTAAGATTTGGTTGACTTTCCGCTATGACGCGAAATTGTCCTAAAGTTTTTGAGGCATAAGGCTCGCTAGATACTAAAAAGTCGCATCATTGAGAAATGTGTAGACTATGAGAAGACTTCCTCTTGGGGAGTGACGTTACTTCAACTTAGGCTATGATTGATATGAACTTTACTTTGTAGACATTGTGAGCCAACTTCTCATTGGAGAATTGGATAAGTAGATCCGTAGGGATTTACCTTCTGTTTTTATGGTGAAAAGTTAGGAGCATAAAAAATTGATAGTTCTAATAAATCTTTTATGCCTAAAGAAGTTATCCAATTAGTGGTTCTTAGATTGCATCGAGCCATGATGGGCCAACGATGATCAATGAAGACCACTAAGGCATGGTCAATGGTCCAAAAAGAAGTTTTTTTTTTTTTTTCCTTGCGTAGTCATTATGAGCCAGGAATTTATAGGGTTAGCAGTCCTGTGTTTAGACATGATGGACATGGGTGATGCAATTTATATGTTCGGATATACGATCCTTACGGATTGTTTTGGGAGAATTCTTAGTTTGTGTTTGATGACTTATATAAGGAATATCTTAGAATGATTCTAGATGCGATATTTCAAACCTATTGAGCTAGAGTCTCAACTATTGAGTGAATCATCAGATTGTCTAAGAGAGAAACGAATTATCTATATTCCTTGATCTTTTGTTATGGGAGCTTGAAGTATGCTATGTGGACGTACTCGGCATGATGAATGTTATCTTTTGTAAATAGTCAACTGAGTAGTTTAGACCTTGACCTTGCTCATTAGATTGTGGATAGGATGTTGTACTGGTAATATATAAATTTTCCCATTGCAAGATTCAATGAGCTAGTTGGGCGCATCTTGAATGAAAGCAAAATTGGTTACCATAACGTCTTTAAAGAGGTATTTGCGCAAAAGGTAGTGATCTAGAACCATTTCATGTGAGGCGCACATGGTGGATTCTGTAGTATATGCTTATCGCAAGAGGTGCTAATAGGGCCTATGTTTGAAATTTAGAATGGTGCAAATTGTGGTTGTGTTTTTCTGTCGATCGCTTGCTTTTGTGAGATTATGAGATATTGATGCTATTATGGTTTGTAGCATAATGATTAGTAGATGATGATGTCAGCAGGTAAGATTAGTTCACTCACACGGGCAATCGCCCTTGGCTCTTGGGAGTGAGAAAGGATTAGACTAGTGGTTTATTTTATTTGGAACCAAGAGAGGCTTAAATTATCCACCATGTATGTCACCTTGGTTGGAACCAAGATGAGGCCATATTGAAGACTAAACATAGATGTTGGTGCCCATTTCCCATGTACGACCTGTGGTTAACTAGATGTGGGATCTCATTTGGTGTCTAGAAGGTGAGCAAATAGAGAATTTGGGTTAGACGCTAGAAAGCGACTCACACGCTTAAGAGTGACTAGACTAAGATCTGTACAATGTATCGAGTATGACATTACTCTTTGGAAGAGTTACCCTACTGTAACACGTATTCATACTACATGTGCTTGGCGACTAAGTGATGAGGTGAGAGAATGGATCCCTGCTTCCTCATCGTGTGAGTTTTACATGTCATTACTGACATGACTTTCACTTTTGTACCCTTTTGTAACCTTTGACTATGTCATAAGGTAAGGGGTTGATGTTTTACTACTTTGGTATGTTGCCTACGGTTATGTATGATTCGGCTTTAAGGGACATCACTGGAAAAGCGGTCAATCCTAAACTAAATGGCATAAGGATGAAGGGAAGATCATTGAGTATTACATCTTTGTTATATATTCACTGTTGGCAACTCACATCGCTTTGTGTGAGAGGCAGATTGAGTGTGAATATATTGCAATATTTGAGAGGGTCAAACATGCTCTTTTGAGGGATTAGAAATGTTTTTGGATTGGTATAATTGGATGAGTTTGGGGTATATGAGACAATGTTTTTATCTTCGGGATTGATGTCTCTATGCTGGCTCTTTTGAGTTTCTAGTGTAGAGCTCCCACTGGTAGATGTTCGCATGGTCCATCGGTATAAGTTTATTCAAAGTTTGGGCAAATTGAGATTGAGAGAGAGATGTGGCACTATCATGCCAACCCATGTGTCAGTGAGAGATGTTAGAAATCAAGTTGGGTTTCAAACCCGGGTTTGGGTGCCTATGGTGGCATGACTCATGACCCATTAAGTGACCCTGTCAATTTGAATTTCAAAGCACCTTATCTTGGAGATAAGGTAAATAACCCACAACCTCATCTCTTGGGGAGATAAAGTTGTGGGTGTTTACATCTCTCTCTTTATAATCATTGATACGTATTATGTATTAGAATATGAGTTTTAACTGAATAGTTTTTTTTTTTTTGGAAAAAGACTTATGTCTAAATCTGT